GCTTAACTAAACAAGCTGAAGTTAGAAGCTGATTGGCCGCCATGCACAGCTGCACCAGATTTTGCACGTTTTAAGCAGGCCATATATGAATCGAAATCCAAATGATTTTTTCGATCAAAACTTGAAAACATTGATCGTTCTGTAATCCGATGGTGCCACCACCAATGATTTGGAAAATCGGTAGTTTTTCACCAATTTTCCAGCATGCCCAATAAACGGAATGGGGAGGAACCACGAAAATTGACCTGTGCCATTTCCCCACTGACAGAGCGAAAATCGGTCGATTATTATTAGGTCCCATGTATGGCCGGCCTTAGTAAATAACCCCCATAGTTTGCTAAGATGTATCTTAAACAATTGCCACACTTTTTTTAAATGAAATACTTGTTTCCATCTTTCCTTCATTCTTCATGCTGCTGATCTCCTGCTGCCTCTTTGCTGCCACTTTCTGTCTACATTCATTTCAGCGATGGCTGCATGGCATTTCTCAGGGTGACTTTCCTGATGGCAACAGCAGTGGACCTGTTGTAAGTTTACATTGGATGAGTGGGGCAAAAAAAATGAATGTATACAGTCATACCCTGTGCTGCTCAAATGTAAATATTGATTGAAAACAGAAAATACTACATCTGGCCTTTAGATGGCGCTAATTATCATAGGAATTTCCTTCAATGTTTAGCTCCATCTAGTGACTAAATGCAGTATTTTCCAGCCTATTCACATCCATTTTCTGCCCCAATTACATAGATGTACAGGGCATTAACTGGGTACGCAAGTTATGAATCAACCATCATTGACAAAATCTTGTCTTAGGGCCAGTGCACACTACACCGCGTTCCAAATTATTATGCAAATTTTATTTAAGTGTCACAAAGATTAAATATTTTGTTTTTCAGTGTAACTCATGGATGGCATTGTGTGTCAGGGCTCTTTTGATCACTGAAAACAATCTTGGACACCTGTGATAATTAGATTGGCCGGTGAGCCCAATTTAAGGAAAAACTACTAAAGGAGGGAGTTCCACATTATTAAGCAGAACACCATTTTCAAGCAATATGGGGAAGAAAAAGGATCTCTCTGCTGCTGAAAAGAGTGAAATAGTTCGATGCCTTGGACGAGGTATGAAAACATTTGATATTTCATGAAAACTTAAGCGTAATCATCGCACTATTAGGAGATTTGTGGCTGATTCAGAGCACAGACGGGTTGGTGCAGATAAAGGCACATTGAGGAAGATTTCTGCCAGATCCATGCATCGGATCAAGAGAGCAGCTGCTAAAACACCATTACATAGCAGCAAACAGATATTTGAAGCTGCTGGTGCCTCTGGAGTCCCACGGACATCAAGGTGTAGAGTCCTCCAGAGTCTTGCAACTGTGCATAAACCTTCTATTCGGCCACCAATAACCAATGCTCACAAGCAGAAACGGCTGCATTGGGCAGAAAAATACATGAAGACTAATTTTCAAAAAGTCCTGATCACTGATGAGGGCCGTGCAACCCTGGATGGTCCAGATGGATGGAGTAGTGGATGGTTGGTGGACGGCCACCCTGTTCAAACAAGGCTGCGACGTCAGCAAGGTGGTGGTGGAGTCATGTTTTGGGCCGGAATCATGGGAACAGAGCTGGTCGGCCCCTTTAGGGTCCCCGAAGGTGTAAAGATGACCTCTGCAAAGTATGTGGAGTTTATGACTGACCACTTTCTTCCCTGGTACAGAAGGAAGAACTAGGCTTTCCATAATAAAATCATCTTCATGCATGACAATGCACCATCTCATGCTGCAAAGAATACCTCTGCATCAATGGCTGCTATGGGGATAAAAGCAGAGAAAGTCATGGTGTGGCCTCCATCCTCCCCTGACCTCAATCCTATTGAGAACCTTTGGAGCATCCTCAAGCAAAAGATCTATGAGGGTGGGAGGCAGTTTACATCCAAACAGCAGCTCTGGGAGGCTATCCTGACATCTTGCAAACAAATTCAAGCAGAAACTGTCCAAAAACTCACAAGTTCAATGGATGCAAGACTTGTGAAGCTGCTATCAAATAAGGGCTCCTATGTTACAATGTAACGTGACCTGTTCAAATGTTTAAAAAGTTAAAATGTTGTTAAAAGTTTGATTGAAATAGCTTTTGATTTTAGTAAATATGCTGCAAACACAACAAATGACAATTTTCAGTTCTTTACAACCTATAAAGTGTTCTGAAACTTCCTGTGCGGAATAATTTGGAACAAAAATCCTGTTATCATTAGGAGGTTTTGTTCAATAAAATGTGAATTGTACTCTTAATAGTTGATAACATGAGAATTATGCTGTTATTTACATCAATTATTTAGGGAAATGAGAAAAATATCATTTGCATAATAATTTGGAACTCGGTGTATAGAAACAGATGCGTTTTTCCATGTGCGTTTTTTACGTGTTTCAGTGCATTTTTGAAACGTTCCAGTGTGTTTTTTATGCATTCCAGTTCATTTTTTACCCTCTCTTTTTTTTCTTCAAATTAACCACTTCCAGTCCGGACACTTTTACCCCCTTCCTGTCCAGGCCAATTTTCAGCTTTCAGCGCTATCACACTTTGGCAATTGTGCGGTCATGCAACACTGTACCCATATGAATTTATTTAGCATTTTTTTGAGACAGATAAAGCTTTATTTTGGTGGTATTTATTCACCACTGGGATTTTTATTTTTTTTGCTATGTAAATGAAAAAGTCCAAAAATTTTGAAAATTTCATCATAAATCTTGGCCAAAATGTATTCCGTTATCTTTTAGTAAAAAAAAAATAACCCAAATTAGTTTATAACCAAAAATTATAATTTTAAAATATTTTTTTTTTACATTTTTATTTTATTTTTTTATATTAATATTAATGTTTTTTTTTTTTACATACTGTCACCCTAGCAGTACAGTGTCACCATGGTGACACTGTACTACTTGTGGGGGGTGATGAAGATTTTTTTTTTATATTTTACACTGATTGCTTTTACTCCCTTAAAGCCTGTAAAAGCAATAATTTCTCCTTCTCTCTGGCTGCATTCTTGCTGCCATTGAGAACTACTATGTGAGCTGTGATTGGTCACAGCTTGTCACATGGTACAAGGCTGTTGTGAATAGCCTTGTACCATGTGACCTCAGTGATCACTTACAGATTTCACACATAATAAGCAATGATGTCAGAAGTGACATCTTGCTTACTACTCTTCAGGTGATCACTGATTGGCCAATCAGTAAACACATGATCGGGACCTCGTCTGATGATCGGTGTTCCACTGTGACCGGAGGACACAGCGGGCACCGGATTGCGGTGCTGCACGCTCCCAGGGAGCGCGCACAAGCAGGGAGCAGGGAGGACGTTTATAAACGGCCACACGTCCCTGCAGTGCACACCGTCCAGTCAGACGGGAGGTGGTTAAATAGGGACATGTGTGTTCCAGTGTGTTCTGATGCGTTTTGGTGAGTTCCGGTATGTTTTTGATGCGTTTTAACACGTTCCAGTGCACTTCTGTGGAGAAAAAAATGCAGCCAGTTCTACTTTTTTTTTCTGCATCCGGAACACACTGGAACATCCGGAACATCCGGAACATCACTGCAAGCACTGATGTGAACTATGACACTGACAACCATACCACCTACTTTCTGTGCGTTTTGGATGCAGAAAAAAAGCAACTGAAACGCATGGAGTGTGAACCGGCCCTTAAAGTGTTACTAAACCCACAACAGTACAATCAGTCTGTAGATGCAGTAAAGCATGCTTGTTATACTCACTGTGGAACCTAAGGGGTTAATCATCTGCATTGTGTTAAAAGGCTGTTTGATCCTGTCTTCTCTGATCCTCCCCTTCTTCCAGTGTCCCCTCTTATCTTCTGATAAGACATATTGTGAGTAGTCACTCTGTACATGCTCAGTTTGGTGTATATTGCTAGAGAGTTTTTTTTTTTTTTCTTGGGAGTGTGCACGTGATCAGAACAGGGCCAATCAGCAATGTCCAGACAGAGGTCAGGTGTTCTGCATCCTCCTAGAGCAGAAAGAAAACTCCTCCTACAAGCTTCAACCAGTACTCTGTTGAACACTGATAGAAGTCACAAGATGGCTCTAACTGCTGATGAGAAAAGGGTATTTAGCAGTTTATATTTACTAAAATAATTGCATTTCCATGTTCTGTGTACTGTGGGAGACCAAATATAGTGAATGCAGGGTCCGGGAGAGCAGATATAGTGAATGCAGGGTCCTGGGAGACCAGATATAGTGAATGCAGGGTCCTGGGAGACCAGATATAGTGAATGCAGGGTCCTGGGAGACCAGATATAGTGAATGCAGGGTCCGGGGAGAGCAGATATAGTGAATGCGGGGTCCGGGGAGACCGGACACAGTGAATGCAGGGTCCATACAGTGAATGCCGGGTCCTGGGGAGAGCCGATATACAGTGAATGCAGGGTCCGGGGAGACCGGACACAGTGAATGCAGGGTCCGGGGAGACCGAATACAGTGAATGCAGGGTCCGGGGAGACCGGATATAGTGAATGCGGGGTCCGGGGAGACCAGATATAGTGAATGCAGGGTCCGGGGAGAGCGGATATAGTGAATGCAGGGTCCGGGGAGAGCAGATATAGTGAATGCAGGGTCCGGGGAGAGCACCGGATATAGTGAATGCAGGGTCCTGGGAGAGCAGATATAATGAATGCGGGGTCCGGGGAGACCGGATATAGTGAATGCGGGGTCCGGGGAGACCAGATATTGTGAATGCGGGGTCCGGGGAGACCAGATATGTGAATGCGGGGTCCGGGGAGAGCGAATATAGTGAATGCAGGGTCCGGGGAGAGCAGATATATTGAATGCAGGGTCCAGGGAGACTGGATATAGTGAATGCAGGGTCCGGGGAGACTGGATATTGTGAATGCAGGGTCCGGGGAGACTGGATATAGTGAATGCAGGGTCCGAGGAGAGTGGATATAGTGAATGCAGGGTCCGGGGAGACCAGATATAGTGAATGCGGGATCCGGTGTCAGTGGGAGGAATAGTTTTCCATCATTTGTGTCAGTGGGGAGAATATTGTCCTATAGGTGTCATTTGAGGCATGGTGCCCCATCATTGGTGTCAGCGGGAGGAATGGTTCCCCATCATTGGAAAGAGCAGGGCCCTCGATCCCCTCATGTTTTGCATTGTATTGGTATTGTTCTGTCACATGTTCTGTCCCCGTCTTAATGTACAGCACTGAGCGAACTATTGGCGCTTTATAAATACTGTATAATAATAATAATAATTGGTGTCAGTGGGGAGGAATGGTGCCCCATCATTGGTGTCAGTGGGAGGAATGGTGCCCCGTCATTGGTGTCGGCGGAGGAATGGTGCCCCGTCATTGGTGCCAGCGGGAGGAATGGTGCCCCGTCATTGGTGCCAGCGGGAGGAATGGTGCCCCGTCATTGGTGTCAGCGGGAGGAATGGTGCCCCGTCATTGGTGTCAGTGGGAGGAATGGTGCCCCATCATTGGTGTCATTGGGAGGAATAGTGCCCCATCATTGGTGTCAGCGGGAGGAATGGTGCCCCATCATTGGTGTCAGTCATTGGTGTCAGCGGGAGGAATGGTGCCCCATCATTGGTGTCAGTCATTGGTGTCAGCGGGAGGAATGGTGCCCCATCATTGGTGTCAGTGGGAGGAATGGTGCCCCGTCATTGGTGTATATTGTAGGGCAATAAATACAAGTGCTATGGAATGTTCCACAGGCAGTACAATAGATTTCCATCCAGGCCCGAGCCCCATGGATGAACACAAAGCGTGTGGTAGCTGGAGTGACAAATGGCTCCTCTGATTGGAGACTGACAACCATGGTCAGGACATTGGCTGCATCAAGACAGGCTATCTTTAAGAGCTCAGGCCTACAATATCTGCGCATGCGCAGAACATTTCCCCTCCATCTGTCAGTCACTCACACTCTACAGGCACAACTCTGGCAGCAAGAAGTAGGCGTGGTGTTCTTTGATTGACATCTTATTTCAAAGCAGTGCCTTGTTCGTCACTCTCATTGTCTTTCCCAGAGTCACACACGCCCCTAAAAACTCCTACTGCGTGGGAGGAGCTCAGCCCTAACCCGTTCCTCCCACGTCTATCGCCTTGACGCCGCAGCGAAAGGGAGCGGATCTGTCATGACTGATTGACAATCCAGCCAATAGTCTTACTGAACTAGACAGCCTTCACCAATAGGTTTATCGCTCGCAAATCAGTGGGGAGGGACCTCGATGTTGACAGCTGAGCTGGCAAATCAAATTCCCAGTTTTAGTCTGTGAGCGAGAGAATGAAGTGCCTTGACGTAGCCCGGACAAAAAAGGGGCGGTGCCATCGAGATCGACAGCCGCCACGACCAATCATTTTTACAGGCTTCTTTCCACCAGCGAATTCGATCGAAGCGGTTAGATTGACAGCTGCGAGGCCCAACCAAGTTCCCGGCTGGGTTTCTGGGCGCCAATCGGGCGCTGCGGCTGAGGCGGCGGGGCGGAGCTGCGGGCCGTGGCGAGGTTTGCGTGCGCGGCGGGGGTCTGTGAGGAGATTTGTGCGGCGGCGGTGAAGAACAATAATAATAATAAATAGAGAGGGGAGAGATCGCCGCCCGGCGCCGGTGAGCGGGGTTCTCCCCACCCTCCAGGTGGAAGCGGGGCCGTCGTAGCGTCTTCTCCCCCCTCCACCGTCTCCTAGGCCTCTCCGGGCCTGCAGAGGGGGAGAAAGGGTGAGCGGAGGCCGCACCTCAGAGAGCCCCGGGGACAGCGCCGGATCCTGGGTGTCCAGCTTCCCTCATACAGGTAATCCAGGGCCGCCTCCCCGGCCTGCGGGGCCCAGCACAGCCTCAGGGATGGGGGGAGGGGGACTACAGGTCCCAGCATGCTCTGTGACTGGGGGAGGGCCTGCTGGGAGATAATAAGGGGAGGGGGGTCACTACTGTCTGGGTGTGATAATAATCCCCCCCCCCGCCTCTGTTTACATTCTGCATCTCCCCTCCCCCACCCCTCACTGCCAGGACCACTGCAGGCCTCAGATTGGATTACACAGCAGGAGCACCCACCAATCACATCCTGTATACCTTCTACAGACGATTGTCAGCTCTTCTGCCCAGAGGAGTCCCACCAATCACATCACATCCTGTATACCTTCTACAGATGATTGTCAGCTCTTCTGCCCAGAGTAGTCCTGCCATTCATATCACATCCTGTATACCTTCTACAGATGATTGTCAGCTCTTCTGCCCAGAGGAGTCCCACCAATCACATCACATCCTGTATACCTTCTACAGATGATTGTCAGCTCTTCTGCCCAGAGGAGTCCCACCAATCACATCCTGTATACCATCTACAGAGGATTGTCAGCTCTTCTGCCCAGAGTAGTCCTGCCATTCATATCACATCCTGTATACCTTCTACAGATGATTGTCAGCTCTTCTGCCCAGAGGAGTCCCACCAATCACATCACATCCTGTATACCTTCTACAGATGATTGTCAGCTCTTCTGCTCAGAGGAGTCCCACCAATCACATCACATCCTGTATACCTTCTACAGATGATTGTCAGCTCTTCTGCCCAGAGGAGTCCCGCCAATCACATCACATCCTGTATACCTTCTACAGACGATTGTCAGCTCTTCTGCCCAGAGAAGTCCCACCAATCACATCACATCCTGTATACCTTCTACAGACGATTGTCAGCTCTTCTGCCCAGAGAAGTCCCACCAATCACATCACATCCTGTATACCTTCTACAGACGATTGTCAGCTCTTCTGCCCAGAGAAGTCCCACCAATCACATCACATCCTGTATACCTTCTACAGATGATTGTCAGCTCTTCTGCCCAGAGGAGTCCCGCCAATCACTTCCTGTATACCATCTACAGATGATTGTCAGCTCTTCTGCCCAGAGGAGTCCCACCAATCACATCCTGTATACCATCTACAGATTGTCAGCTCTTCTGCCCAGAGGAGTCTCACCAATCACATCCTGTATACCATCTACAGATTGTCAGCTCTTCTGCCCAGAGGAGTCCCACCAATCACATCCTGTATACCATCTACAGATGATTGTCAGCTCTTCTGCCCAGAGTAGTCCTGCCATTCATATCACATCCTGTATACCTTCTACAGATGATTGTCAGCTCTTCTGCCCAGAGGAGTCCCACCATCATCCTGTATACCTTCTACAGATGATTGTCAGCTCTTCTGCCTAGGGAAGTCCCACCAATCACATCCTGTATACCATCTACAGATGATTGTCAGCTCTTCTGCCCAGAGGAGTCCCACCATCATTCCATATACTTCATATCATATCCTCTGTGCTTTCTACAGATCATGAGATCCTGCAACTCTTCTATAGTGCACAGTCATTCTAAGGGTAGATTGTCAGCTTTTCTGCCCAGGAGAGGCCCACCATCTTCCTACCTGCACCCTTTCTAGAGTACTCCGCATTCCTTTGTGTAAATTGCCAGTTCTTCTGCCCTGGATCATCAGATCCTGAATCCCTTCTACAGCAGTCAGCTATTACATGAGTAGATTGTCAGCTCTTTTGCCTAGGAAGGTCCCACCATCATCCCACCAGATACTGCATCCCTTCTGTAGAATTTAATAGATTGTCAGCTCTTCTGCCTAGTGGGGTCCCATCATTATCCTATCAGATCCTGCCTCCCTTCTACAGCACTAAGATTTTCTATGAGTAGATTGTCAGCTTCTCAGCCTGGAGGGGTCCCACGTTGTTCCATCAGATCTTGCATCCTTCAACAACACTTAGCCTTCCTATAAGTAGATTGTCAGCTCTTCTGCCTAGTGAAGTTCCACCATAATCTCATCTCTGCTGCATTCAGCCATCCAGTCAGTAGATTGTCATCTTTTCTGGCCAGGAAAGTCCCACCATAGTTCCGTTGCTGAAAATCCAGAATCACTAAGCCACCCCGAGTGTAGACTGTTAGCTCCTCAGTCCAGGAGGGTCCCACCATAATCCCATTACTCAATCCTGCATTCTTTCTACAGCCCTGAAACATCCCATGAGTAGATTGTCAGCTCTGCTGCCCAGGACAGTGCCTTCACAATGCCATCAAATCTCGCATCTCTTCTACCTCATTAAGCAATCCTGAGCGTAGATTGACAGCTCTTCAGCCCAGGAAAGTCTTGCTATAACCTCATCCCTAAATCCTGCATCTCTTCTGCAGCACTGAATTATTCTAAGTATAGATTGTTAGCTCTTCTGCCCAGGGAGAGTTCCCAAAAATGGTATGCCTCGTTGTTACCTTCTGCCTTTCCCCAGCTATCATCTAGATTGTTCTCTTCAGCCCTGCAGGGTCATCTCATCAGGTCCTTCATCTCTTCTGCAGCACTGGGCCATCCTCAGGGCAGATTGTTAGCTCTTCAGGTCCGGATAATCCCATCATAATGCTATCACTGAGTAAATCCTACATCACTGATTCCCCCCCCCCCCCCTAAGGGTAGGTTGTTAGCTCTACAGATCAGAATAGTTTCACCCCATCACTGAATCCCACATCTCTTCTACAGCACTGAGCCATCCTAAGCGTAGAGTGTTAGCTCTTCAGCCCAGGATGGTCCCAGCAATAATTCCATCATTGGACAAAACTTGTATCTTCTAGGCAGCTCTGAGCCATCCCAAGGGTAGATTGTTAGCTCTGTAGTCTAGGAAGGTCCCACTGTAATCCATCACTGAGTCCTGCAACTCTTCTTTAGGCACTGAGCTGTCCTGCCTAGCTGCAGAGTCTTGGCTCAGGAGTCTTTCAAGTAATGCTTCATTGTTTACATCCTGTCTTGCCCCTCCCCCCACCCAGTTCCTGACTAGATCTTGATGTAAGCTCTTCAGGTCAGGAAGGTCCTATCATAATCCCATTACTAGATAAATGCTGGACTTCTCTGCAGCACCAAGTTCTTGTGACTAGGTGTAGATTGTAAGCTCTTCAGGCCAGGAAGATCCCCCACCCTAATCCCTTCGCTGGATGTATCCTGCATCTCTTCTGTGTAATTGAACCTCTTTCCTATATGTAAATTGTTAGCTTTTTGATCTAGGAGGGTTCCTAATAATAATGCTTTACCTCCTTGTTTACATCCTGCCTATCCTTTCCCCCAGCCAGTCACTGGGCTTCCCTGCCTAGATCTAGATTGTAAGTTCTTCAGTCTATTAGGTCCTCACATTCTTGTCCTCTTTAATGTTTATGGTTCTAAATTTTCACCTTCACAGCCAGAGTCTCTGATTCCTCCTAATTTCGTATAGATTGTAAGCTTTTCAACTGAGGGTGGTCCCAAATAACCCCCTTACTCCTCACCCTACCTTCTGCATCTCCCCTTCGCAAACCTCAGTTGCTGAGGTCTCCTGACAGTGTGTAGATTGCAAGCTCTTCATCTACAGGGATCCTACATAATCCCTTTACCTTCAATCTAGAAGGGCCTCACATAAATGCCTTCCTCTACCCAACACCCCCCCCCCCCACCCACCACCTTCCCCAGAATCCCCTTGAACTTCTTACATTTTGTGTGTTCCTTCAATTGCTGAGCTTTTCTGGTTAGATG